TTTCATTTTCTGGGACATGGTTGGTACATCTGGATCTACTTTCATTGCATCTAACTGAACCATCAATTGCGAAATAACACCAAACAACATATCAAGGTGTTTAACCTGGGCTTTCTCATCGTGTTTTGACATTTCCTCTAACTCCACCTGTAAATAAATACAAAAAGATAATCAAGTCTGCACATGATGTTATGTAATAACTATGGTACAGCAATTTGTGCTTGAATCATAAGATCTTTAAGTGACAAGATGTGATACAAATTTTGAAATGGCTAAATTGATATTCCATACTCAACACTACTCTCAGAAAGCATTAAAAAAATGATATATGAATATATGTATTATTAATATATTGGGTTATGAAACATGATGGGTCTGAGATCTGTTACTGTTTTCATCAATTTCAAGTGGTCAGCCCTTTATTTGTTGCTAGAGAAAACTTTGCCCCATAAATGTCTTCAGTTGTCTTTATTGAGAAGAATGAAATTTCTTGTGGTGGATAAGTTTATATCGCAAAACTAGGCGTTGGGGTGTTCTTTTCGTCACATAAAACGAACTGACTAATCATGCGGAATTGTTATTGAAACGGACATCGATTGCGTTGTGTTTTCTTGAGTTGAACAGACGTGAGATATAATTCAAATTGGTTTATTTGTACTCAACATGAACATCAATACGTTGTACAGCAAATACTTCTTGGTATAAAATATAGATCGCTAAATAATAGCTTCATGAGGAGTTGGCATCGTAGAGAGCATAGAAAGGAGGGTGTGCATAACGAGCATCAAGTTGCGAAGCTACCATAGAAGGAATTACAGCGACGGCCTGAATCGGACTTCTCACGACAGCGCTTTGCCTGGTTAATGTAATTGTCAACGTTAGAGCGGCATTTGTCTCGGTGACAGCTAATCGGAGAAGTGCCAAACACGTGTTTGTACTCTAGAATATATCATGTCAAAACGTTCCGAAAATAAAACAACGCTAATGATTGGCGCATACAAACGAAACATAACGCTGTCATTCCATATTACGTGTGACACGCGACTAACACGAGGCAGAACTTTGGTGGGAATTTTGGGCGGTAACAGACAATACCGCGAGAACGCATGGGAAACAATGTAGCGACGTTTG